AAGAACGTAGAGATGAAGCCCTTGTTTGCTTGAGATTTCGGAACCGGGCCGATAGCACGTGTCCGAAGGAAGAAAGTATACCTCCAACTCCAGTGCCTGTCTTTTGTTTTTGTCAGTAGGAACTGAAGTCATACAGAGGATAGGTACAGATGGAGGGGTGCTCGTGAATTCGAGCGCGTATCCATAACGAATGGTCACTGACACCCAGCTGTCTGATGTGACTTTCTCCCAAGACCCTGCAAAGAGTTGAAGTCGCCCGTCGACGGGTCTGAGATCGGCAGGCTAAGACAAATCTGAATAGTCAGCGATGCCTACCCCCAGGAGGTTGGAGGTAGCACGGCTCGGTAGTTCTTCCTTTGAAGCTCCTCTGGGGTGGCTTGGTAGGCCGAAAGGAGGATGGACGACAGCAATTCATCTGGTAACTAGGTTGATGAAAGGGGTGAAAGGAACCATAACTGCCCGACGTGGGGAGCTGAAGGGTTGAGCCCGGCGATTATCAGGATGGGATTTGCGAGGTCACGGAAGGTAAGTTTACGTGTTGTGTTGTGTCATTACGCTTAACCTCAGACTCCTGATGCGACTTGAGAACTTCCCTGCAAAAAGGGCTTTGCCCTAAAGAGGAAGTTCCTGAAGTCTTGGCTTGACTACCTAATAGAGAATGTTCATGGTGTCTAAAGTATTGGATCTGCATGCAGAAGTGGCTAGAACGGAGATCCGAACAAACTGCTCGAAGATAGAGTTGACGTTCTCATCGAGTGCTCAAAGTGCAACAGCTGCCAGGTCCAGAGTAACTCGTGAATCTTCGTCACACGCTCTGGCCTAATACTCAGAGAGGAGTGCCGTAAACACGGTGCAGCGAAGGCCATGTTGTGAGGCTTTGTCAAGTTTAGCAAGAGTAGACTCGACAAAACACTTGTCCTTGTCTTTAAATGGAGACTTTCCTGTATGCTTGTGAGCGTCAGAGGAAAGTTAATCTTTAGCCTCAATTGGAATCTCAGGGACAGAGAGGAAGTTAGTAAAGTCCTCCATAGCAAACTAGAAATAAGTCGAGGCCCTGGGCGGGTATGGATGCCATTGTTTGGCATCGGCGAGAACTTTAAACATCTCGACGCATAAGCGGTCAAGTGGAAGTTTGAGAAAAATTGGCATTGATGCCTCTAACCTAGCAGAGTGGCGCTTGAAGGAAGCATGTGAAGAGGCCTCAGCCATAGATTGATTGGAAGGCAGACCTAACTAATATCTGCATCATATCCTTCTGAAGAAGACAGAGCCGTGCCTCTGGAGGGTTTTAAGGTTGGCTGCAGAGGAGACATCCTCATGTTCAGAGGACGTATCCCGCTCCATCCAGAGTTGATCCGAGGAAGGAGGAACGTCATCATGTCTTGCTGGGTGGCCAGGGGTGAGAGCAGGATGTGAGCTGTAGTCTGCACCGGAACCTGGAGAAGTCGAAGGGACGAAACCATCATATGAAGATTGGATCGCCGAAGAATGCAGCTTCAGATGACAATGCGGATCCAGATGCGAATGTGGATCCGGATGCGGATGTGGATCTGGATCATGTTGCGCCGGCAAAGGGTCTGGATCTGGGGCTGTCGCCGCCGGAGAAGTGTTGGGCTGTCCTGTGGAGCGTCAGCATCTTTGTAACGGCCGGGTGCCCCAGTTGAAAGGATGTCTGAAGACAATGGCACCAGGCGTGATGCAGCCGGTGTAGCTAGCGTTGGCGGCATGGGGCCACTCCGGCGCATAGACTTGTGACCCATGCTGATGTCGGGTGTTGCCCATGACAGCTTGTTGTCGGCCCCCGTCATCCATTCAGAATGCTTAGCAACTGGGACACAGAAGTGTTGCGCCCAGACCCAGCAAGCGGGGGAAATTTCAACTCCAAGTGTAGCGCCACTCTGCACTATCATTGACTGCGATGCTTCGGTGTTACGTTGGGGAACTGAGCATACGGAGATCGCACGCACTGCAGTTCAGGCCCTTGAAGCGTGGCATGGGCTAACCCTGAACTGAACCAAAGATGGTATCACCAGCAGGGATTAGCCGCAGGATCACAAGTTTAGCAAGATGCCACTTGATCCTCCGCAGGCCGACTCCTGTCGGTCTATAGGGGTATGTGGGGTCGCGGAATTTGGAACACTCGCACTTCTTCGCGAACCCCAACAAACCCTACTGACCCTATAAATATACCAAGGAAAGAGGGGGACCGTGGTATTAGATTGCCTGCACCGCCTCGTGGAACCCCCAACAATCCCAGGGTCGCCCTGACCCTATGTATTGCTTGGTAGTAATAGCGTAGAGTCAACGATCCATAAAATGCACACACACGAAAAGAGAAAATATACCACCAAAACAAGAAAATATACACAGCAACTCAGAAATATAGACTGTATGTTTATTACAATACGTTACGGTTTGATCAGAATGTCACAAAGCTGTGTCGTGAAACGGAAAACTTGATAAACTCGAAGATGTCAAAAAGGCACGTCCGTTTAGAATCAGGCTAAGAAAAAGAAAGACGAACATGGCGGCCATTCCACGACGCATCATGGGACTAGAAGGCACACTACATTTGATCAGAAGTTTTAGCATATTGAATCAGACGCAAAGGAATTTGCATATTTAGTGACTGTTTGGGGTACATTGAAAGCAGAAGACTAATTACTTTGAGGTGATAGTAATATCATAGCTGGGAGTGGTTCTTTATGGAATAATACCATCAGTAAGTGGTTGACATGCGTGAACCTTTTATCAAATGCATCCAAAACTGTAAGGAGATTTTAACATTCCAGAAACAAGACTTATGGCAACACCCACTATGCCCACTGCAGATGTTTTCATTTCATTTTTTTCATTTCATTTATTTGTTTTGCAGGATTAAACACAGAAAGCTTACACAATTTACAAATTTAAGAGATACAAAATATACGCTCAAAAAATACACATTTAGTTAAGAATCTACACCAAAAACAAACAACCCAAAAAACAAAAAACAAAACAAAAAAAAACACAAAAAAATACAGACAAACTTAGAAACAACAGCACAAGCAACAACACCACATCCACACAAACACAAAACACATGTAACACCCCTGCAGGATTGCAAAAAAAGCAAACTTAATTACTATCGAGTTGCTCTCCTGGTGCTATAAAAAGACCAAAAAACAAAACGGACAGCAAACAGAAAAACGGGAAATGAACAAACACAACATATTATATCACCAAGAAAAACAAAACCCACCGAACAAACATAAAAACAACCCAACAAACAAACAACCCCCCAACAACCCTAAAAAAAAAAAACACAGGGTAGTAATTAATCCCCGTCTCATATAAGTGAGCACCTACATGTATCCTGACTACAAACAGCACACACATTTACTAGAAGACAACGCAACAACAAAACAAAAACATCAGCAACCACAACCACAACCCCAACAAGAACAAGAAAAACAAACTTACGAAAAAAAAAAAAATCAAGCTAACAACAATTATAGGAGCAACAAAAATGCATACATTACAAAGTACACAGTTTACCATGTCTCCCAGAAGCTAATATATTGAAAAATAGACTGAGTTACCGATACCTGTAAAAATGGCAACTCGCAACCAAATTTATCACATACAGAGCTCTTTTTGAAGAACACATGCAATGGGAATTGAGAGCATGGTAAGTAGTTTGGCAACATTTTCAGGCAGGTTTGAGCTCGGCATACTAATGTGCAGATATTTATGTGTTCTGTATGGAACGCTGCTTCAACATTATTAGCTTGTATTCATGCAATGCTCACACTTCATGCATGATTATTTGTCGTGGTCATGATCAAGACGTATGTTGTACACTGACTGGACAATGCATACTGTTGCACCACATGCAGCAAGAGACACATATTACAGAACGAGAGTTCTTACAAGTTAACATTTCACTCATCACCTAGTCAGTTTGGCAATTAATACATCTAGGGGACCTACATATCAACTTGAGTTTTAAAGAAGTTGGAAAGGTTTAACTCAATTTGTTGAAAACACTATGCAGTGAACAATTTGAATGCCCTGTTATAAAAGGTTATCTGGTACCAACAGATATTTGCAGACTTGTACATCGTACCATAATTACCACAATTAGGTCCTCAAAGGCCAAGAGTGATTTCGTGCCATATCACTTAAATTTCAAAACATCTGTAAGCTGTCCCACTAAGATTTGGACGACAAATTTAAAAGAATAATCTTAGGTTTTTTGGACACTGAATATGAGCCCAACAAATTTTAGTGCCTAACTCAAGTTTATTCTGAAAAAGGCCAATATAACGAAATCAATTATGAAAATGATGTCCGCACTGTTCTAATTTTTGTTGATACCAAATCTTGGTTTAATTTTGGTTTTGGTGCCGGTCTTTTTGGTGTTTATAAAGTCCATGATATTTAGGGGAGAAAAAAGGGACGAAGAGAAATAACCAAAAGAAAGAGAAAGCTAATAACAAAAAAGAAACAAAAAGCTCACCAGTGCCTCTGATAAAAGATAAAAGGAAGACAGGCTGCATTTTTCAACAAAAAAATGACTTGAAGTTGGAAACTCGCTGTACGTGTTCAGATAATGGTATCATGTGCATTTTTGAGGAAGATTTCATTCCAACCCAAGTTGCTAACCAGGCAACATCCGGTTAATTTTTAGTGGAATGACCCTTTCACTTTTGGCAGAAACTGTAAAATTGGAATGGAGTCTAACGTGAAGCTAAAGTATAAAGTTCCAAGCTAAGCTAAGTCATGAACATGCATGTGCATGTATGTGCTTGACTCACAGATACCTGCAGAGAGGGATAAATAACAGCCTGCTTACAAAAACAATGTCATCAGTCTTTAAGACATCTCCAGGATTTGTGAGTGGGGTATGAATCTTGCCGGCTGATATATAAAAACTCATCTTAATGCACCAAAAATTCCACTGAATTTTTGTGAAGATGCATCACGATGATGGCAACGATCAATACTAGTATACTTACTTCAATACAAGTCTGAACAGAAGAGCCGTAGATATGATAACAAAGTTGTTCAGCAACACAACTATTGCCTGAAATACATGTAAGAAAATAAAAGCATTATTAGTTCATGTCATTGTTCCATAGCTTAAGAAGATATAGCCGTATGTATACACAAGTGAAGTGCTCTAGAAGATATACATGTATCATACAAAAATTTGCTACATCAATTTAACAGATTTTTTAGTCAAATCTATACTGAAACATCTATTTTACACAAGTTTGATTCAAAATACTTTCCCCAACCCCAAATTAACCTGATGAGCTCTTTATATTAACAGAGAACAGAGAGGTCAACATCAAGCAAGAAGATCTCATTTTATGAATTTTAAGGTCTCCTAAAGATGCCAATGAAACTTTTCTGTACAGGTTTACCTGCACATTTGATGAAATTTATTCATTATACAAAATATCGTTTACTGATAACCACTGATGTGTTCAACATGCATGTCAGAAAGACATACATGTACACAACAAGTGTTAAAAGTCTGCTCTATGGCCAGACCATACCAAAGCAAACCAAATTATGCAGTGTACACATGCATGTATAATGTACTGATCAAGTAGACAGTTGCATGGAACATATAATTACCGGTTCAAATGATGCAACCACATAGAAGGCAATAAGGTTGTCTAGAAAGTACAACAGACCAGGAACACTCCACTTGAACAATCTCAAGACATCATAGATGGAGAATGCAAACACTGAACAACTCTTTAGTCTCTCTGTAAAATAAAGACTTAAATGACAGTAATCAAAGGAATTACACCAACATATACTGTGTTTATGCACGTCCAAAAATTATGGTTAGCTGTGCATGAACACAAACTGTTCCCACAGACTCGCAATTAGTAATTTGTAATTTCAGTTACAAACAGTGTAGCTCATAAGATAATGAAAAATCCTCTTTATTACTTACTACATGTAATGTTGTCTGACCCAATAATTTTGGCCAGTTTGTATTGTGGTGGGTGTTTCCCCGGGCCTAACCTAAGTTTGAGGGGTCAAGTCTGAAACCTGTTGGGATCTCAACTCAGGTTCCACCTTGGTCCAGGGATCACTCAGAGTGACCATGGAGCGACCTAAAGGCTAATGGAGCAGATCCGTTTTGGTGGAAATATGCCACTGGTTAAGATGACTGTAATGCTTTCTGCCAATCAGACAACACACAACAAGGACATCTGACAATTAGATTGATGGTAACCTCAAACAACAATGTGATTTATTCGGACAATCAACAAAGAAATATTGATTAAGTGATTAGGAATGAATTGTATTGAGAAATTTTTATTACAACCTGTATTACTTTGTGTGGTCTTGAGGAGAGGCTATTAGCAATGCACAACTAATATCGTACTGCGTCTCACAATCAGCAACGCACTGACTAATGTCACCTTATCCAACTCTATGTGCACAATGCGGTCAGAATTCCCCTTGGATTCCCAGTGCTTTTAATATACACTAACCTTCGACGAAGCCGGCATTGCCTAACTCGCCATATCGTCTAAGTCAGCCTTTTGACAAAAGTCCTGATCGTCTGTAATGCATTTCCATTGAAAATTTCATTTTCTAAGTCGGCATTTATAAGTCATCAGTTCGTATATTCAGCATGTCTTTCTCAGTCCCTTTCCACAAAAACCACCAAAATTCCTTTGTGTAAATTGGCATTGAAAAAATCATGCTCTCATGACTGCATGGACAGCCAGAACATCAAGCTGCGACAAAGCAAATATAACTTTGCACAGTCAGGTGGTTAACTTGAACTCAAGGTAAATGCAGATAGACTTCATCCTGTGGGGGAAAATCGAAGCCAAATGCAAATGCACCTCCCAACAATGTGTCAAAGCTTCGATCAATCCTTGGCATGGTGCACTTTTATGCCCAATTCCTTCCAGATTTTACAAGAGTGTTGAAGACACTTCATTATCTGCTGCAGAAAAAAAAGTGAAATGGAAATAGGAGAAAGAACAAAAGTTTGCATATGACCTCTGCAAAGAAAAGTTGACATGCAACACAGTCCTCGTTCACTATGACACAACATGAAAGCTGAAACTGCTTGTGATGCTTCAAGCTATGGTCTGGGTGCTGTGATCTGCCATGTCATGGATGACAGACAAGAAAAGCCCATGGCTTTTGCATCCTGTACCCTATCACCAAGTGAACACCACTATGCATTGATTGAGAAGGAAGCACTCAGCAATTGTGTTTGGAATAAGAAATTCCATCAGTTTCTTCTGGGCAGACCATTCACACTAGTGACTGATCAAAAGCCATTACTAGCGATACTTGGTCCCAAGTCAGCAGTACCTTCTATGGTGACATCTAGACTGCAACGCTGGGCAATCCTGCTGTCCCAGTACCACTACAAGGTTGAGTACTGAACCTCCAAGAGCAATGTGGTTGCAGATGCATTATTCCAGTTGCCAGTTGACATGAGAACTCTGATGTGGAGAGTGAGAACCCAGTCAACAAACTCCAAGTCATTGATGAAGACTTTTCAGTGACTGTGACAGAAATTGCAGCAGAGACTCAAAAGGACATTTTGCTTAAGAGTGTGTATGAGCAGACATTGAATAGTTGGTGTAAGATCGATGATGCATTGAGCAGAGAATTGAAGCCAGCTTTCCATAATAGATGTCATGAATTATCATGTGAGCAGGGATGCATAGAGGGGGATCATAGAGTGGTACCAGGTAATACCAGAGTCCCTGAATACCAGAGTCTTTCATGATTGAACTTTAAAGTATGAAGTCTATTGCTAGGAGTTATGTGTATTAGCCAGGTATCAACAATGATATTGAGTCACTAGGGTACAAGTACAGCATGTGCCAAAATCCTCCCTCACACAAGTGTGGGTTGGGTCTCCTTGTGATACTTACGCTTTCCAGCCTACATATGCAGAGTGGCACCATACTCCGGAGGTGGGTTGGCGATGGAAGTGTAGTTACTAAAAGAACATAGACGGGCGTCGCTCAAGCGAACACTCACCAGAAGAAAGAAACTTCTATGATGAAGTATTAACTGTCCGGCCCGGAAGAGTGCTGGACCGCCGAGTGCAAGGTCGCTCTGCCATGGGCTGTTTTGCTCTACAGAACATTTTTTTCAGCTAACACTTGGTGAAGGTGGAGGGAGATTTCCAGCAACCTGCCTGATGGATTTCAGCAAGAGGAGCTCCTCTGAAGTATGACTACTATGCAGAGGGGGCCCGGCATGCCACCAGCCCCAATGTGAGATTGGGTCATCTCACCATGTTGTGCTGGCCAGTCTGGGCTAACGAAAATAATGGCCAAGACCGTCTATCGGGCAATAGCATCCTTAAACACCAGATGAAAGCGTTTCGCCAAGGTAATGAAGAGCTGGACATTAGATTCTTGGTGAGGCTCGGTCCTGGCAAGATACCACTTGAGAGTCCGTACTGGACACCATCTTTTGCCAGAGTTCTTGGGAACAAATATGTTGGGAGGCTGGAAGGTAGGCATCTGGTTTTTTGTCAGAAACCCGATGGTTGGGATAAGGCAAACCCCATGGCTCCCAGCAGATGTGACCATTGGCAATCGATAGGACATATAGCTCGCTACCTTGTCTCGAAGTAAGAACCGCAAGGATGAACGTCAGTTTGATGCCGAGATGGAGGTCAGATGCATCAGACGGCAGTTCGAATGGGGGACCAGCAAGAATGCGTAGGACACTTCCGAAGTCCCAGGATAAGATAAGGCGTTTGACGAGGGGACACTTGTCAAACATTCCTCAAAGGAGATGGTGAATGGCAGCGCTGTCAGAGACAGTCGATTCATCACTGAAGCCCAAGTGAACAAGGCTCTCATTCTACCTTGGACAGGAGATGCAGGATATTGAAGGAAAGGCATACATCAGAAGGCCCAACCCATTCGAACTGTGGGGCCTGTCGCCTATCGTTCATGCCTGTGGTAGAGCGAACCTGGAGCAGAACTTCGGGAGATGGGTTATGTCAGTAGAAGCAATGAGGTTGAAGTGGGGACGCTCAATCTCCACTGGCTGACGTGCGGGTGAAGAATCCACCGTTAGTCAGACGGCACCCCGAGACAGTGTGTCTCCTATGCTGTTGCTGGTTCCCATTATGTGGACAGCTTGGAGGTTGATCCCTTGATTGTTCTTCTAAATGAAGAGTTGCCAAGCAAGGGCGCAGTGTTGAGGAGTGCCGCCATGGCGGTTGATGTATGTCACTGCCGTGGCGTTGTCACTCTGGACTCGAACGAAATGACCTACTTGGTCTTGTCAGAAGTGGTGAAGAGCATTGAACACCGCTTGGAGCTCTAACCTACTGATGTGCTTGTCTCGAGAGGCCGTGTCCCAGACCCCGGAGGCATGTAGTGGAGGAGAGAGGCCCCATCTGGATAGCAACACATCCGTTGTCACAGTCACTGTAATCTTAGTCACTGTGGACGAGCCTTGGGTTCTCGTCCACCACGGGAGGTGGTTGCGTAGGAAAGTCTGTCCACATGTAAAGAGAAGCTGAAGTATTCATTATAAGAAAAGAATAGTGAGCCCTGTTACATTGTACTATGTTCGATGTGGCCATTTGTATCCTTAAGGCGTGAGGTCAAAATACAGACGGTTTAGAAACAATTCAACGGTTGGTGTTCATCCCCCTTCATTCCGTTCGTTTTTTGGTGTGGGACAGTTCAACAGTTTGAAAAGAACCATCTGCCCTGGACTATCTAGCTTCACGAGCAACCCTGACAACAATGGAGTTAGTGGCTTACACAGCCATATTTGTCAACAATAGACCCTATTCAAGGAGAACTTCAGTGGCCCCGGTCAGCCTTCCTGGGCTGGCCGTAGGGAACAGAGGTTAGCAAATTGTGATGGAGATGCAAAATCAACTGCATTCTAGGCTACAGACATTTTTCTAGCTTCAGAAACGTTTTGAGTGGGTATTTCTTGACAAAAAGACGTCACCACAAAATCATTGTTCCTCTTTAAGGTTTTTTAGACTGGAAAATAAATATGTTTATATGGGAGTCACAGGAAATGCCAAACACGGTTGCCTCATTTTACAGCCTGATCTATCGATCTCTGAAAGGAAATATCCACATAGACACAATACGAATTTATTTTGAACTTCAGTCACGTGTACCACAATTCTTTGAAGGTAATAAAAAAGTCAAACTCCGCATCAAATAGTGCCGCAAGTATGTTTCAAGGTTCGGTTCGGTTCAGACACGGCTCGGAAATTTTTGGCCGAACTTCGGATTGGTTGGGGTTCAGACATGTACACACATGTACATGTACAAAGCACACTGAGACATCGAAAGGCACGCTACGAACGTGCCGCATTGGCCTATACAGTAGCACGACGCTATAACGAACAAGATGGGGTCCACGCTAAATGTTCGGTACAGCGGTTGTTCAGTATAGCAAATTTAACTGCAGAACGTTTCGTTGCCATGTTGAATGGCGCCCTCTCTTGTCTAACCGAAGTGCACCCTCTTGTGATACCTTAGTTCCCGTAGTTTTCGTGATGTTTTGCCGTTGCAGTCAAGTTTGAGGTCTTTAGAAATGTATATGTTAATTCTTTTTGTTTTTTATTTAAACTTGAGTCAAAAAATTAATATCAAGTTTATCGTAAAAGTTGTGAAACTGCCACTCAGGATCGATCTCTGATGCATGCTGTGGCGAATCTTGGTTTATTTGTGTCTCAGCGGCACCCTCTTTAGACTAATGTTAGTGCAATGCCACCGTGCGC